TAAAAGATCTAAATTTTACCCTTTTTAAATTTGCGGACATGAAGACATCCCTTCAGTTTACTCCATAAAAACAGCAACATTTAAACAGCCAGCTAAAATGAAGACATCCCTTCAGTTTACTCCATAAAAACAGCAAAATTTAAACAGGGTTACAGTAGTAGTAGATTGATATTAGAAGTTGGGTCGGTTATGGTGTGGTGCTACCTTAGGCATTTAAAAGATTTCCTTGTAGATGACATTTTGCGTGAGGGTCCTGTTGTTGAAAAGGCCTTGTGATGAATGTTTGTCCACTTTGATGTAGATGTTGGAGTAGCCTCTGGCACGTGAAAAGGCAACATATAGCTGGCCGTGGGAGAACACAGGGGCTGGGAGGTAGAGTCCGAGTTTGTCGAAAGTCTGGCCCTGGGACATGTTTATAGTCATAGATTAGGCAAGTCTGATTGGAAATTGAATCTGCTGTAGTGTGAAGGGAAGGTTTGCGTCGGATGGGGCAAGTTTAACACGCAGGATGAGGACTCTTTGTGAGACGTGGCTTCCAGTGAGGATTTCGGCATCTAGAATATAGTCGTGGAGATTCGTAATGTACAGTCTGGTGCCGTTGCAGAGTCCTTTAGTTATATCTAGGTTGCGTAATAGCATGATTATTGCTCCTGGTTTTAAAATGAGGCGGTGTGGAGGCATGCCGGTAGGGGTGATGGAGTGAAGGATTTACTGGGTATGGGCTTTTTTATGCTTCCGCTGCAATATCGACAGTTTCTGTGGGGAGATGTTTAATTTGGAGTAGGTCAACATCTGGTAGTCCTAATTTTCTCAAGCTTGTCCCATTTTGTTGCAGAGACGTGTTGGTGTTTTGAAGAGCTAGTTGCGTTGCTATGTCGGTTGAATATTGGTGATGGGTGTAATCTTCAATCATGGCATCCTTGTGTTTTTCCCAAAGTTGCAGGGGGTTGGTTGGATCACAATATATACAAATGGTGGTGAATAGGGATCGAAGCTGTTGTGGCATTTGGAGGAGAGTTGCTTCAGAGAGGGCTTTATCCCATTCGGTGTCATTGATGAGGAGGTGTCTACGTATACATGCTTCCTTGAATGTGTCAGAGACTTGGTTGTCAACTGTTCGTAGGTCTAAATATGAGGTGGGGCTTGGGACGTGGAGCAGGAGGAGATGCAGACAATATCGTTCATGTCTCTGGGGCTGACAGAATACATGCGGCCTATTGTTGTTTCAGCGCCACGTTGTCTTGGTTTCCATGTTTGGCTGGATTTGTTGTAGACGTAGTGATTTGGCAACTGATGATAGCAGAGGTCGGTGGGTTGCTGTGAGTTGAGTTTGAAGAATGCTGTTAGCATTGTGTTCTTGGAGGTGGTGGCCTCTGCTGCAGCAATGTGGTTTCCTGGAGTGAAGTAAACGGGTTGTTGGCTGGGTAGATGGAGGGCAAGCCTGATGATGGCATGTGATTGGTGGTGTAGTTTGTACTCAGCCAATCTCCAATAAGCCTCTGGTGCGCTGATGTACCTGACGTCAATAAAGTTGGCGACCTCATCGTGGTGGAGTTGACAGGTTTCTGTGACTTGGATGTTGGCGCAGTCGTGGCCTTTGTAAACATACTTGAATAAGTATTTTACACTCTTGATTGAAGTGCAGGCTTCTAGGTTGACATGTGCTTGGTACTTCTGTGATAAGTAGGGGTTGAATGGTACAACCCAGCGGTTATCTATTTGGTGTTGGCCAATGGTGATAGTGCGACCGTTGTCTGATCTTTTATACAGTGGATAGCCGTCGGTTGCAAGTGCTGTTGTTTCTCGGAACTCCTTTGGATAGTCTTTTGTGCATTTGTCATCGGCCATATGATACATGGTGCACGTTTGTTGAGGATTCCACATGGACCGTGAACCATCGTTGTCTTTATGACTTGGAACAACTCGGGATGTTCTGTTGGATCAGGTATTTCTGCCAATATTGTGGAATCGATGTCGTTTGGGTCTCGTAGTTTGCTATGGTCTGCCAAGATGATGAGTAGATGACAGTGTGGGAGACCCCGCTTTTGGAACTCTATAACATAGATGTGGGCGATTGGTTTGCCAAGTACGTGTTTTTTCGTTATATCCGTCATGGGTTCATGTAGGTGCTGCTGAAACACTCTGGCAACAATATTGGGTTGATCTTGTGCTTGTTGGCCAGGGAGGAGGGCTTTTTGAACATCTTGACACCTGGGATTGCAAGGAACGTAAGGAATAAGTCTGGTTTTCCATACTTAGCGACCATGGCCATGGCGTCCTGGTAGTTTTGTTGCATTGCGCATGGTGATCCTTCAAAGGAAGACGGAAGGACGATGATTTTTCCGGGTTGGAGATTGTGCATTTCAGTTTGAGTGTTAATGTGGTCCATGAGGCCTTGATAAAGTTCAACACGTAGATCATTCTGCTTTGTTCATATGTACTGCAATCTGTCGGCTTCCACACGAATATATGCGTCTACCACATATTGTTGGAAAAGCTTCCCACCATAGAAAATGGAAGAGAATGATTCTCGAACTGAAAGGCGATGGGCGTAGTACTGCAGGCATGTTATGTTCGGTCTTTTTGCCGACCTGTGCTGTTGATCGTGTTGCATGTCGTACTGCCAACCTAATTCTCTGAATGGATAGAAGATGGGGTAAACCATGGGGTCGATGTTGGATGACAGGTGACTAATTTGCTGGGGTGGTTGATCTTTGGGATACACAACAATTTCTCTATTATGTGGAGGTACGCCATCTGGTGATGAAAATACAACTGCTATCTCGTCTTGTCTCGGATCATTATAACAGCGTTGGTCACCGCCTCTCAATATGTGCATGGTTACAGCTGGGGGTGGTGTACCATTCTGATCTGCTAGGCGAAGTTGTTCTGCCTCAACCTCTTGCATGTGTTTGTAGGCGGCGGCATATGGATTGGTTTGTTGGTGGACCCTTTGCAGGAGTGACATGACATCAGGAAGACATTGTTGATTGGCAGGTTGTTGCATCCTGGCTTGTAGTGCTTAGCCCGCATCTAAAATGTAGAGTTGGCTGAATGATGGTGTAGTACCTTGTGGAGGGTGAAGTGAGCCAGACCTGTGGTACACTTGTCCATGAAGTCTGAAGGCATAAGGGCCACGGCCTGGTGGGGACACAATGTAGGCAAACGCCATGGAGCTATTGTAATTGCGGATGTTGGCTCTGAAATTACGCGCTTGTGGAGTACTTGTTGTAAACAGGTCTTTGCGTTCAGTTGGATAAGGTGCTGATGGTGGTAATTGAACTTTGCCTTTGTGGCAGCAATAGTGGTTCTCCTTTGGGAACAGTGCATTACAAAACGAACATGGTGTTGTCATTGTTTCTATCAAGAAAGGGTCGACTTGGGGCGGGAATTGTCGGGCCAGGTACTGCACCATGTGTGTTGCAGCTTGTCCTCTAATGGCATTAGGTGGTCCATTTTGCTGGAGGGCTAGTGGTGGTGTGCTACTATCTTCTGTTTTTGCGAGACGATAGCGTGTCATGTATGTAGCACGTGTCTCCAACCTGCTTTCAGTTTCTGGCTGGGTCTCTTGATCTTGCCGACTACGTATGCTTTGCAGATGAGCTCTTTGTTGTGAAGGGGTCCTAGTCCCTGTGATGGTCCTTCGACGTCGAGGCATGGTGCATCAATGCTGCAGGGAAGGAAAAGAGTTTTGAGAGATGGGCGAATATTATGTTGGCAAACCGTTTTCTACAGGTAACAGGGATGATTGTTTCCTCTTTTAGAGGGGGGGGGGTGTTTGCTTATTTTTGGTGTGCATCAACTGGCCCGGCTAGTCTTCTGTGTTGCATCTCTTGTGTAGCTGGGATCCGCTGTATAAGTCAGATGGTAACAGGGATGTGTTCTTTTTTAAGGGAACATCTCAAAATTCGTTGAAGCTGAAAAAGACAAAATAATTTCGTCTAAGGGGTCGACAGGAACTTTTGAGTACATCCAAATTTCATCTTTCTAGCATTTCATCTTGAAGTCAGAAGTCTAGTTTCTTTTATCTTTTAGGAGGGGGGGGGGGTCAAATGAGAGACTAAACAATTTCGTCTTTTTTAGCTTCAGTTAATTTAAGATGATCCCTTATGGGGCGGGGTTAATTTCTGCAAAACTTTCACCCCTGTGTTAGGAATGGGGTGAAGGTTACTACCTCGCACTCCAATGTTTAGCATACGTAATTCATGATAAAAGACTGGCTGGCACAAAACATATGAGGTTGTTTTGTTGGTTTTGAGCTAAAATATTTCGGAGTGCAATTAATTGAAAAACATAAGTGAAAATGTATAGTGGAGCAATATTATTTATTGCTACAAATCATAGTTAAGTAGTCACAGCAGTGTTCAGCAGCATTTTAATGGACACAGTATTAATTTTCAGCAGTACATCTGTCATGTATGATTATTTTTGTAAAAACTATATAAGAACAATAGAGGAAATTCAGAACATAGAATCAGAAACAATATCAGAAAAATAGAACATCTTAAAATAAACCCCGAGTGTTTGGTACATCATATAGGGGCACTATTCCAGTAATGTCAATTGACATGGCTTCTGCTTCAGTGACTTGATCATTGGCGTTGTCTCCGTCCTTGCTTCCAGCATAACTTGCTTGGCTTGGCTTCTCTGCAGCAGGTTGAATTGCCTGGGTAGGCATGTCTGCTGCATGACTTTCCTGGCTAGGCTTATCTGGTGCATCACAACCACTGGCCTGACCTGGTTGCTCTGCAGCATCACTTGCCTGGCTATGAATCTGAGTATGATCTGCTGCTGTGCTGCTTGTGGGGGGTTGACTTGGAGTGTCACTGGCCTTGCTGGGCTCCTCGGCATCTGACTGACTTTCTGTTACAGTGGACTGGCTGGCTTCAATGGTTGATGACTGGCTGAGCGATAAATAATTGATGCCTTCGTCTTCGAATGGTTGGAACACAATAGAGGTGGATGCATTTCGTGCTACAGTTGACAAACCTTGCATCTTCTGAAGGGTTGACTGAGTTGACGACATTCTGATGGGTGTGAGCTTCAGTGGCGATGACATCATGAGTGGACCTGTAGCTATTTTGATGGGTGTTGTAGGGGAGGGACGTTTATATGGTGATGATTGTGCGCTTCTGTTTTTGTTAATTTTGAATTCGTCACAGAGTTGTTTTTTCAAACGGTCTATGTTATGAGTTAAGCTCGACAGTTCTTTGTCCAGGCTTTTGCGGTAGTCATCGAGAGACTTGTTCAAGGCTGGGTGATTTGTTCGGGAATTTACCTGGATGAAAGCCAGCTCTCTTCCTGCCATGTGGCAAAGGGTTTCAATCTGCTTGAAGATCTGGGTGGCTTGGCAGTGCACTGGTACCTTATTTGGAGACGACATCTGACATTTTTAAGTGGGCGCGGTCCCCTGGGCTATTTTAGGACCTTAATCAGGCTCTCACGTTTGAAATAACTCTCTGGAAAATTTATTTTTCCACATGTTACAGGTGGAACTGATGCAGCAAAGGGGTTGATTATTAATTTAGGAGTGCGATTAGCCCTCTTGGGCATGCCCAGGAGTGTGGAATTTTGCACTCATGGATTTTTCAAACTTGGAGCACTGGTGTTTATTTCGCTGTCAATGTTTTTGATGTCTTAGAGATTCTTAGAGTATGTCAAAATATATAATATCAAAAATAGATAAGTTTTGATAATAATTATGTAAAATATTATGTACCGTAGGCCTAAACAGTTTTGGTGCGCGTGCAGAACCTAATGTCGGACACCGAAGAAAGAAGGGCATCGATATTATAAGATGACGCAGGACACACTATTTCTTCAATGCAAAGTCAAAGCTAAAGTGGTTTGAGGGCATCCGACAACCGGAACCGTAGGAACCTAATATTATAAGATGACTCAGGACACAGTATTTCTTCAATGCAAAGTCAAAGCTAAAGTGGTTTGAGGGCATCCGACAACCGGAACCGTAGGAACCTAATATTATAAGATGACTCAGGACACAGTATTTCTTCAATGCAAAGTCAAAGCTAAAGTGGTTTGAGGGCATCCGACAACCGGAACCGTAGGAACCTAATATTATAAGATGACTCAGGA